TTGCTCCCCTCAGCAGAATACTTCTTCCTTCAGTCCGCCTGTTCTGCTCCCCACTCTGTCTTTGGTAAAGCCTCTCACCGCCCCTACACCTCTGGCCTCCAACCCAGCTCTGCATGCATAAATAAATGAATTCTTTAAAAAAAAAAAGTGGGAGTTAATATTATATAAAGGTTAATGTTCTAACACATGATGAGTTCATACACGGGACCATTTTTACAAATGGCTATTCTAGAAAGAGAAAGGGCAAGAATAAAGACTTCACTGTAAAGGAAAGAAAATAATAGTTCATCTCCTTACCTTACCTAGGGTAATTATCTCCCTCTATTTCCTCAATTGTGCCAACTTGAATGCAACTGCTGGAGTCATTTTGCTTTGAAATACACAGAGCTGTTTTTCAGAAACTCTGGGGAAGAGGAGCCTGCAGCCAGTGCTGAACTCCTGTTCTCCTCAAACCCTTGACAGCTCCCCGTGGAACAGTCATCACAGTCATCCCAGTGGAATACATGGAATATATATATTTAGACAAAATAATCTCAGTTGAGTCACTAAGAAATGGATTTTGGGGAGTGGTTTTGCCCTGAGGTGAGAACATAGCTGACACAAATACCACCATTATCAGCACAGTGATGACAGGCCCCAACCATGGAACACAGCTCACACCTCGCCTATCTGGTCACGGCTGCTTAGACTCTGAGGAGGCAGCATGAGCCCCACACAACCTCCCACCCCAGTTAGGAGGTCCTGGGTTGGCAGGAAGCCTGAGCTGAGGTGTCCACAGTTGGACACCTGTGCTTCTGTCCCACTTACCCACAGACGTTCCAGCCCTGATCCCATTCCCTCACTTCACCTCACCTCCCACCAAGTCCCCCATAGTTCCCCCACTTCTTACACTGGAACCCCTTATATTGATGCAGGGCTCACTGAGTACTAAAGCCCCCCCCCCCCAAAGACAGTGTCCAGTAGAGGACACCTGAGTCGTTCACTGTGCACAGGGAACAATAACCACAGTGTTGAATTTACAACAGGGCAATCAAGACTTGCTAAGGATGCAAGTGGCTGGCTGGCTTTCACTCAAGTCCACAATGCTCAGAAGTCACAAGGAATGATGCTCCTCCAAGACTTAACTTCCCAGGCCTGAGATCTCCTGGGGAACCTGGTAGCTGGCACATGGGGTGGATCCAACTCCTGTGGCTGCCCAGCCAGAGGGGCTCACATTCTGGCCATGAAAAGAAGCTGTAGCAGCCCACGGAGATAGTCCAGTTGGGGTCACATTACCCAGTGCTGGGGCAGACAGCAATGGAGAAGACTGTAGACCAGCCAACAGACAGCCCTTCCTGAGCCTGCACCCACACCAGCAACACTCAGTGAGGCACCAGACCTGGGTCCTTTGCTTACTCTCCAAACTCACCGATGGCAGACATAGGCAATGACCACCTGCAGAGCTTTGCAGGTTCTCTTTGAATGTTGGCTGGGGTTGGCTGCTGGAAGCTTCTTTCTTCAGAAGCTGAAAACACTATCTGCAGTCTAGGCCTCTCGATGTTCAAGTCTGGACCCAGGCTTAGGAGTCTGGCACAATACATGCCCCTGGCTTGCTCCTCCACTCTTTCCTTTGCAGCCTCCCCCAGCTCCCATCACACTACCAGCCTCTTCACCTTGGTCCTTTCAACCTCAGTCTTCGCAGTGGCCCCCCTACGGTGGAAACACCCATCTGTAGCAGCCTTTGGTGACATAGGCTATGCTGCCCATGCTGTCTTATGACCAGGTCAGGGCATTGGGGGTAGACACCCAAGGTGGAGGCTGTTTGGTTCCCAAGACATACTTAGGGGAGTCTGCACAGCAATGCTTACTAAACTGTATTGTACTTGTTCCTGGCTAATAGCAATTGTATTTGACCATCAAGCAATTCCTGGCTCTCTTTTGTTTGCAGCCTAGTTGGGCATGGAGAACCTGTTACAAAAAGTGTTTAATAATCGACAATGGTTCTCAGAAAAGAACTTCAGCATAAATCAAGAGTGTAGACTGTCTTTAGGAATACAGATTAACATGATCAGGATGTGCTTCCTCCTGGGACAGTTTGGCGGGACCTAAAGAAACAGATCTGAATCTAGATTTAAACTGAGAAAGTGTTGTTCAAAGGAGGACTTAAAGATTTGCTGCTTTATTTGAGATGCTGGCTAAAATGACTGATCATGCTGAAAAAATAGGGATGCTGATTGTTTTTGGTGGTTTTCTTTCTATGATCAAAAGAATTTCTTTGTAACACGTAATCACAGTTTTGGTTTACCCATGGAAATGAATTGTTAAACATTTGCTTCAATGCCTGTACTGATGTAATCTCACTGCTTGGAAATTGTTTAAATAAAGAACTTCTCAAGTTTCTGGCAGCAGATACTGGCACCAGCTAGAGTGTCATGTTTGCCTCAACTGTTCATTTCACCTGTGCCATCCCAACCTTCGGGGGAAAAACCCGACTGTCCATTTGTCAGAGCTGGACTCCAGCATCGGCGTGGTCTCTGACACTCTAACATAAGCAAAGGTCACACTTTCCAAACCTCCATAACACAGCTGTTCCCTGTGGAACAACTACCATATCACGGTACCACATCACTCCCATTCTCATCACTTGTCCAATCTGCTCATATCCTCAGGATGGAGACTGACAGAAAATCCAGTAAGGAGGCAGCAAATGACCAGAAACAGGCTGACAAGGCCAAAAGCAATGAACACAGTGAGTAAACTAGCTGTATAAACACCCAGAGGACAGACTGGAAAGGGGATGTGGAAATTAGGACAATGGTATAAATCTCAGGTCATTTCCATTGGATCTGACCCAAAAAATGAGCCAATTCCTTCAGTGTGAATTCAGAGTACACACAGGGAGAAGGGTGTGGACAGAGAAGACCAATATTCTCTCAGACCCACCTAGTCCAACTAATTACAGTATGTATCAATCACTGCAACTCTCCTCCCAGTGCAATGACATTTTGCTGCTGAGCAATACAAGCCTAACAGGTGTCATCTTGGCCTGTCCTTTATCATCACTGAGCGGTAGAAGACTGGACACAGTAGAACGACTACTTTGAGGAGCCCTCAGAGATCACGGACCAATGCAACAGGCAAGTGCCATGCAGAGGGCTGGCCACCACGGACATGGACAGCATATCCAGTAACTTAAGAGGACACTAGAAGTAACACTACCAGGAACAGCTACAACATTGCTACATGACCTGGGATAAGAGAATGAACCAGGTGAGGTCACACAACTATGGCTTAAATGGCAGGTTTGTTCACGTTGCTTCACTGAATGCTGTCTTGTTTGTGATTATAAGTTTTAACACTTTCCATCATTTTGTGAAAGATTTATTTATACATAAAGAAATGGGGTACAAGCCAGAGGTGCAGGGGTGGTGAGAAGACTCACCAGAAACAGAATGGGGAGAACTGGCAGACTGACAAAGTTCACTGCTGAGGAGAGCAATGGGCGGGTCCGGAGAGGTCTGCTGCGCCTTGTGGGTCACCTATCTGGAAAGAACTGAAGCTGAAATGGCTGTGGCCAGCATCATAGTGCTGCACTTCAACACACTGTGCCACTGGGGAGGGTCAGTTTTCAACATTTTAATAGAAATAATGATCCTTGCCTGTGTTGATGTTTCCCTGGCCCACGTGGAAAGGTAGGACTCTAAGGCAGGGAAATATAAGTTGTCTGCCCATGAAAACAAAAATGCTCTGTAAATAACAGGCGAAGTCCTACCGGAGGGTGCTCCACCACTCTACAAAATTTCTGGGGTCACTGAAGGTTGACTTCCATGCCCTGCACACATTACCCCATAGGGTTTCTCTCCTGTGTGACACCCCCATGCAGCAAGAGCTCCTCTGGCAGAAAGCGACCCTACAGTACTAACAGCCACAGGACTTCTCTCCTCGGAGTTCTCTGCTATCAAGTGACCTCTGATTTGCAGTAAAAAGCTTTACTACATTCGGATACTCACAGATAAGACAGCTCACCAGTGAGTTATATATAGAGGCAGACTGAGGGCTTCTCTCCATTAAAATATTTACCTCCACTAAAGACGTTAAAGTTACCCTGTGTGAATTCTCTGATCTGCACTCAGAACTGACTTCTGAGACACTAGGTTGTTGGAAAAGACATGTACAATTTTTCAAAAGAGACAAAGGAAAAAAATAGGTCATGACTTTCCCTAAAGCTGTTTTTCTCCATTCCTGTCATTCACGGGGTTTCTCTCATGAGACAATTCTGTTGTCCAGATACTCCTGATCTCCAATAGAAAAGTTTTCCTATATCCTTGACATTCAGAGTTTATGTGCAGCATAACATCTACAATGGGTAGTATGGCCTGATTTCTGCAAAGTTTCACTACAGACTTATCATTCATAGGATTTCTCTCCAGGATACATTATGTGATGATTACTCAGTGCTCACATATTGGAGGACATCTTCCAATATGACATTCAATTAATATTGACATTCAAGGGTTTCTCTCCTGTTTAGTTCTCCAATGTCAGATTTCCAGGAGAAACCCTTCCTACACTCTTCACATGTATAGGGCTTCTCTCCATTGTGATTTCTCTGATGACCAGTGACCTCCGACTTAGAGAACAAGTTTTCCCACACTCCGGACATTCATAGGGCTTTATTTTTATGAGTCTTCTTATGATTATAAAGCCCTGACCTACTGCGGAAACACTTCCTACACTCTTTACATTCATAGAGATTCTCTCCAGAGTGACGTCTCTGATGTCTAGTGAGTTCTGACTTACAGGAAAAAGTTTTACCACACTGTTGACATTCATAAGGTTTCTCTCCAGTGTGAATTCTCTCGTGTATACTGAGGTATGATTTTGAGGAGAATGTTTTCCCACACTCCTGACATTCATATGGCTTTACTGCTCTGTGAGTCATCTTATGATTATAAAGGACTGCGCTACTGTGGAAAGTCTTCCTACACTCCTGGCATTCATAGGGCTTCTCTCCAGTGTGAGTTCTCTTGTGTACATTGAGGTATGATTTTGAGGAGAATGTTTTTCCACACTCCTTACACTCATAGGGCTTCATTCCACTGTGAGTTTTCTTATGACTAGAAAGGCCTGAGCTACTGTGGAAAGTCTTACGACATTCTTCACATTGATAGGGTTTCTCTCCAGTGTGAATTCTGTGATGTACAGTGAGCTCTGACTTACTCAAAAAAGTTTTCCCACACTCCTGACATTCATAGGGCTTTTCTCCAGTGTGAATTTTCTTGTGTGCATTGAGGGCTGATTTCCAGTAGAATGATTTCCTACACTGCTCACATTCATAGGGTTTCAGTTCTCTGTGACTCCTATTATGAATATAAAGTCTTGACCAACTGTGGAAAGCCTTTGCACACACCTGACATTCATAGGGCTTCTCTCCAGTGTGAATTCTCCTATGCACATTGAGGGTTGACTTTGAGGAGAATGTTTTCCCACACTCCTGACATTCATACAGCTTTACTCCTCTGTGACTCCGCTTATGACAATAAAGTCCTGACCTACTGTGGAAAGCCTTCCCACACTCCTGACATTCATAAGGCTTCTCTCCAGTGTGAGTCCTCTGATGTACAGTGAGGAGGGACTTATAGGAAAAAGTTTTCCCACACTCTTGACATTCATAGGGCTTCTCTCCAGTATGAGATCTCTGATGTCTACTGAGGTTTGACTTAAAGGAAAAAGTT